TGGTTGAGCCTAGTGTGGTATTGGTGGTGTGTAGTAGGGTGGTAGTTGTGGTGTTAGTAGTGGTGTTGTGTGTTAGTAGTGAGTGTTGTGGTAGTTGTGATGTTAGTAGTGTGTTGTTTGGGAGTGTGATGTTGTGGTAGTTACTGTGGTAGTTGTGGTGTTAGTGGGCGTTGTGTAGTGTTGTTAGTGTAAGTGTTGTGGTAGTAGTGGGTTTTTGACTGTTTGTGTTAGTAGTGATGTTGTGTAATGATGTTATGTTAGTGGTGGTGGTGTGATGTTATGGAGTTTTGGTGGTGTTATGGTGGGTATGTGGGTGTTAGTGGAGTAGTGTGAGTGTTGTGGATGTGGTGGTGTTAGGATGTTATTGTAGTCTTAGTGGTAATGGTGTGTGGTGGTGTCTAATGTTATGGGTAGTTTGTGGGTTTGGTGGGTTGTGGTTTTAGTGGGGTAGTGGTGTGTGAATGGTTGTAGTAATGTTAGTGATTGTTGTGGTGGTTGTGATGTTAGTTGGGGTTGTGGTAGTTGTGGTTCTGATAGTTGAGATGTCAGTTGTAGTAGTTGTAGCGCCACCAGTGACTGTGTGTGTGTGTGTGTGTGTGTGTGTGTATATATATATATATTATTATATAATATATATATTTTATTTATATTATATATATATATTATTCGTAAATGAGCGAAATTGTTTACAAACATTATCTCTGTCCACAGCAGGGCTCGAACCTGCACACTCTTCCTCAAAGTAGGCCGTACTTTGACAGTCATCTCTATATCATCTTCACTACACCCACGCACATTCAACATCCCAGCTTCATGAAGTTTTTCTTCTTATATTTGGTAATGTCTACAGGAGAAAGGGTTTTCTAGCCTCTTTCTCCCAGTATCTTAGTCTCCCCATACGACACGCATGGCTTACGGAGGAAGGATTCTTCTCCACTTCTCCATGGAGATGAAAGGAAATAAAGAGGAACAAGAACTATAAAGAAAACAGAAAAAAAGTGTGCATTAATTTACATATGCATGCATGTGTAGTGTGACCTAAGTGTAAGTAGAAGTAGCAAGACATACCTGTTATCTTGCGTGTCTATGACACTAGCAAAACACACCAGCAATCTTTCTATTGTGTAAAACAATAACAGGTTTGCATTTCACACTCGTTTAGCAGGACGTAGTACCTCCCTGGGCGGTTGCTGTCTTTCTACACCACACACACACACACACACACACACACACACACACACACACACACACACACACACACACTTGCACATATATATCTATATATATATAATAGGTTGGTAGACAACAACCGCCCAGGGAGGTACTACCGTCCTGCCAAGTGAGTGTAAAACGGAAGCCTGTAATTGTCTTACACGATGGTAGGATTGCTGGTGTCTTTTTTTTTCTGTCTCGTACACAGGAAAGTTTTCAGGTACGTCTTGCTACTTCTACTTACACTTAGGTCACACTACACATGTACAAAAATATATATATATACACACCCCTTTGGGTTGTCTTCTATTTTCCTTATAGTTCTTTATTATTTCCTCTTATCTCCATGGGGAAGTGGAACAGAATTCTTCCTACGTAAGCCTTGCGTGTTGTAAGAGGCGACTAAAATGCCGGGAGCAAGGGGCTGGTAACCCCTTCTCCTGTATAAATTATTAAATTTAAAAGGAGAAACTTTCGTTTTTCTTTTTGGGCCCCCCCCCGCCTTGGTGCGATACGGCCGGTTTGTTGAAATACATATATATATATATTATATATTATATATATATATATATATATATATATATATATATATATTAATGTGTGTGTGTGTGTGTCATGTTGGCAAGTACTATGTGTGGCAGGATGTGGCAGTTTGCTCCCCTTCTTTCCTCTTCCCTCATCACCTCCCCTCTCCCCCCTCTCCCCCCTCTCCCCACGACCACTCTCCCTTCTATACTTGAGCTCCTAGAGCACACTCAATCCCTAGTTTCTGTTGGCACTCCTTATCTGCCTTTCTCCCTCGTGGCACTATCTTCATCCTGCCTTGCTTGCCCTATCTCCCCTCCCTTCCCTCTCCCTTGGCACTCTTCCTTTCTCATCCTGGCACAATGCCCACCACCCTCTGGTGTCTCATGGTGCCTTGTATTAAGATCAGATCTAGTGCTTGTTGTGTGTGTACGTCTGTGTACCAACATGTACCCATGTATGTAGGTATGTCTCTGTACGTACATGTGTCCATGTGTGTGTACCTGTGGTTTGCCTGTGTTCGTACATGTGCTCATGTATGTGTGTATCTGTGTACTCACCTAATTGTGGTTGCAGGGGTCGAATCATAGCTCCTGTTTTCTTGTGTGTATGCACTTACCTACACTCACGTTTATGAATGTCAAGTAAGACCATATAATCCTCGCCTGTTAGTTATTTATAAATAAAACTATACCTTCCTGGTGTCATGTTTATCATTACTCTCTCTCTCTCTCTCTCTCTCCTCTCCCTCCTACTCCATGTCTCTCATTCTCTCTCATCTCTCCTCTCTCTCCCTCTCTCTTCTCTCTTGCTCCTCCACAATAACGACTGAGTATTCTTATGACATGTCATGTCTCTCTGGTGCTCCCCTCTCTTCCTTTGTTAGAGGTGTTACTAGTAGTCTCTCTCTTAGTTCTGGCACAGTCTCTCATCTTGTATTATCTGAGGTGTTACTGCTTGCTAGCGGAGTTCACACTGGTGCTGCCTGATCTACCCTGCACTATGATATTTTAAACTAGAATTCCTCCTAAAATTTCTGAAGAATTTTGCGAATTTCAACATTTACCGTCCAATTATGCACTCAACATGTTTCTCCATTAATAATAATAATAATAATAATAATAATAATAATAATAATAATAATAATAATAATAACTTTATTAATAAGATGGTGGGCGTGATGTTTGGTCTCGGGTCGTCTGGTGTAGTTTATGGCGTCTCTCATCCTAGACTGTGTCACTTCTGGTTGCTATTACTTTTTCTTTGCCTCGTTTATAGTGTGAATATTTATCCGAAACTTTCTGGACTTCTGGAAATTCAAAATCTCAACATTGTTTCTGCAAAGAATGTTGAGATTCCTCACTCTCCTATTTGTAATATTATGACACTCCATGAACGGAGTATCGAGTGTGCTGATTGTACCTCGACTGCTTTATTTCAAGTCTAATATTTGTCTTAATACTTGTTATATAATGTGGCTTTGTAAATGGTCTAAATGGAAGGGAAACGTCGTGGTCAGCTCGTCTCTCCTGTGTCCGGGTTATTTGTGTGTTGTTCCAGTTAGGTTATTATGCCTTTTTGTACTTTATTGTGAAGATTGTCTGAAGTCTAGCAGAGGAAAGTGTGTGGTCTTGTTGTTTGCTGCAATGTTCAACATAAATTGTCTTCCCTGAGGATGTTCTTGCTGTGTCGTCCTCGGTGTTTGTACTTAGTACCGTCACTGCTGTTAGACGTCCTCGGTGTTTGTACTTAGTACCGTCACTGCTGTTTGACGTTCTCGGTGTTTGTACTTAGTACCGTCACTGCTGTTAGACGTCCTCGGTGTTTGTACTTAGTACTGTCACTGCTGTTAGACGTCCTCGGTGTTTGTACTTAGTACCGTCACTGCTGTTAGACGTTCTCGGTGTTTGTACTTAGTACCGTCACTGCTGTTAGACGTCCTCGGTGTTTGTACTTAGTACCGTCACTGCTGTTAGACGTCCTCGGTGTTTGTACTTAGTACCGTCACTGCTGTTAGACGTCTCGGTGTTTGTACTTAGTACCGTCACTGCTGTTAGACGTCTCGGTGTTTGTACTTAGTACCGTCACTGCTGTTGACGTTCTCGGTGTTTGTACTTAGTACCGTCACTGCTGTTTGACGTTCCTCGGTGTTTGTACTTAGTACCGTCACTGCTGTTAGACGTCCTCGGTGTTTGTACTTAGTACCGTCACTGCTGTTTGACGTCCTCGGTGTTTGTACTTAGTACCGTCACTGCTGTTTGACGTTCTCGGTGTTTGTACTTAGTACCGTCACTGCTGTTAGACGTCCTCGGTGTTTGTACTTAGTACCGTCACTGCTGTTAGACGTCCTCGGTGTTTGTACTTAGTACCGTCACTGCTGTTAGACGTTCTCGGTGTTTGTACTTAGTACCGTCACTGCTGTTAGACGTCTCGGTGTTTGTACTTAGTACCGTCACTGCTGTTAGACGTTCTCGGTGTTTGTACTTAGTACCGTCACTGCTGTTAGACGTTCTCGGTGTTTGTACTTAGTACCGTCACTGCTGTTAGACGCTTCTCTTTCTATACCATCTCTTTCTTTCCCATTTCATATATTTGTTTTTGTTTTTACTTTTGCATGCGTTCAGTTTTTATATAATATATATATATATATATATATATATATATATATATATATATATATATATATATATATATATTTAAATTTTCTTTGCTGTCTTCTGTGTGAGAGCATCAGTTTCTCTTCCACTTTTGTCTCTACTGTCAATTTTTTCTTTGTTTTTCTGTGTCCTTCCTTATACTTGTCTGCTTGTCTTAGTTCCTCTGTTTAATTATTTTTTTCTTTCCTGTATTCTTTGAGTATATTTTCTTTGCCCAGTGAAGCTGTGTGTATATATACTCTTGTAAACCCCGGATCCTTCTCTCTGTTATTAGTCTTAATATTTGAAGGTATAAATTGAAGCGTTGTTTCCTTGGCTCTGTACTTTTGTGGACTCTGGTACCTAACACAACACACTGTAGAGAGTTGACTTGAGACTAGGGTATACATGGAACTTGAAGACATTGGACGTTACCCAGTTCTCTTTCAGGTCTGGGAAGTGGAACACCTTGGTTTTAAGACTGAAATACACGTGACGTATGGGTCCAAGAGCTAGAACTACACACACACACACACACACACACACACACACACACACACACACACACATATATATATATATATATATATAACTCTATTTTCACAATGTGTTTGTGTTTTGTTCTAGGAAGAGTCGTGGCGAGCGTGTGGGGTCGGCTGCTGGGGTCCTCACTCTCACCAGGTGGAGCCACAAATGGTAACTAACTCTTCTTACTTGACTCTAACTCTTAAGTCTTCCACTTGTGTTCTTAAACCACATTTAAATAATACACTTCACTTAGCGTGGTTGATCAGACCCTCATCCACCGGGAGGCCGGGTCGTGGACCGGGTCACGACCCCCAGAATACCCTCCAGGTAGTTGCTGATGCAGACAGCAACACGCTACACGATAATGCTTCAACATGCAGTGGAAGACCGCTGCAGTGGCACCATAGAGGAAATAAATGATCTTACCACTAGAATATCCAAGACATAACACGACCCAGTAAGTGCTGAGGATGGCACACCAGTAACATGAATCCTGCAACTGTAACCTCCTCAACCATACGCGCGTGCGCACTTATTAACGTGAAAATAAATACAATATCAGAGCCACCTAGACAGTGGCCCAGGCCGAGGTCACTGTGGCCCAGGCCGAGGTCAGTGTGGCCCAGGCCGAGGTCACTGTGGATTAGGCGGGGTCACTGTGACCTAGGCATGTTGGCATGTGGCGCTCCTTACTATCGCTTTGCAAGCATTTATTCCTTGATTTAACACTGTTGCAGTGCATTATGCACCCCTCATGTTTATATCAATTAGCCTATGGTAACATTGGTTTCGTTATACGTCGTTTCGCGTGAAAGTAGCAGTTTCCAAAAACCTATCAACGACGTTAAGTGAGGACTTACTGTATACTGTTTGAGAGTGTCAAAATAAGGTAAAGGGAGAAAATACTCGGAATGATTGAAGATGACTTAAAGAGGATTTAAACTCCCTACAAGGTTACCTTAAGCATTAAGGAGTTACTACCCGTTCCTCCCCCCTTCCCTCCCAGACCCGGTCCACGGGCTCCTGATGGTGATCAACCAGTCTGTTGGTGCTACCAGCACGTAGTTCAACATAACCACCACAGCCTGGCTAATCAGAAGCTAATTTGAAGAACTTATTAAATAATGGTGTCCCAGTACAGTGTTTCCGGTACAGCATCACAGGTACAGTATCACAGGTACAGTATCACAGGTACTGTATTACACGTACAGTATTACAGGTACAGTATCACAGGTACAGTATCACAGGTACAGTATCACAGGTACAGTATCACAGGTGCAGTATCACAGGTACAGTATTACAGGTGCAGTATCACAGGTACAGTATCACAGGTACAGTATCACAGGTACAGTATCACAGGTACAGTATCACAGGTGCAGTATCACAGGTACAGTATCACAGGTACAGTATCACAGGTACAGTATCACAGGTGCAGTATCACAGGTACAGTATCACAGGTACAGTATCACAGGTACAGTATCACAGGTACAGTATCACAGGTACAGTATTACAGGTGCAGTATCACAGGTACAGTATCAACAGGTACAGTATCACAGGTACAGTATCACAGGTGCAGTATCACAGGTACAGTATCACAGGTACAGTATCACAGGTGCAGTATCACAGGTGCAGTATCACAGGTACAGTATCACAGGTGCAGTATCACAGGTGCAGTATCACAGGTACAGTATCACAGGTACAGTATCACAGGTACAGTATCACAGGTGCAGTATCACAGGAGACAGAAAAGAGGCACTAAACTATAGACCTGTGTCATTGACGTGTATAGTATGCAAAATTATGGAGAAGATTATCAGGAGGAGAGTGGTGGAGCACCTGGAACGGAACAGGAGTATAAATGCCAACCAGCACGGATTCACGGAAGGCAAATCCTGTGTCACAAACCTGGAGTTTTATGATAAAATAACAGAAGTAAGACAAGAGAGAGAGGGGTGGGTTGATTGCATCTTCTTGGACTGCAAGAAGGCTTTTGACACAGTTCCTCACAAGAGATTAGTGCAGAAGCTAGAGCATCAGGCGCATATAACAGGAAGGGCACTGCAATGGATCAGAGAATACCTGACGGGAGGCAACAACGAGTCATGGTACGTATGATGTATCACAGTGGGCACCTGTGACGAGCGGGGTCCCACAGGGTCGGTCCTAGGACCAGTGCTATTTTTGGTATATGTGAACGCCATGACGGAAGGGTTAGACTCAGAAGTGTCCCTGTTTGCAGATGATGTGAAGTTAATGAGGAGAATTAAATTGATGAGGACCAGGCAGGACTTCAAAGAGACCTGGACAGTGACTGGACACCTGGTCCAGCAAATGGCTTCTCGAATTTAATCTGCCAAATGCAAAGTCATGAAGTAGGGGAAGGGCACAGAAGACCACAGACAGAGTATAGGCTAGGTGGCCAAAGACTGCAAACCTCACTCAAGGAGAAAGATCTTGGGTGTGAGTATAACACCGAGCATGTCTCGGAAGCACACATCAATCAGATAACTGCTGCAGCATATGGGCGCCTGGCAAACCTGAGAACAGCATTCCGACACCTTAGTAAGGAATCATTCAAGACACTGTACACCGTGTATGTCAGGCCCATACTGGAGTATGCAGCACCTGTTTGGAACCCGCACTGATAAAGCACGTCAAGAAACTAGAGAAAGTACAAAGGTTTGCAACAAGGTTAGTTCCAGAGCTAAGGGGAATGTCCTATGAAGAAAGATTAAGGGAAATCGGCCTGACGACACTGGAGGACAGGAGGGTCAGGGGAGACATGATAACGACATATAAAATACTGCGTGGAATAGACAAGGTGGACAAGGACAGGATGTTCCAGGGAGGGGACACAGAAACAAGGGGCCACAATTGGAAGTTGAAGACACAAATGAGTCAGAGAGATAGTAGGAAGTATTTCTTCAGTCATAGAGCTGTAAGGCAGTGGAATAGCCTAGAAAATGACGTAGTGGAGGCAGGAACCATACACAGTTTTAAGACGAGGTTTGATAAAGCTCATGGAGCGGGGAGAGAGAGGGTCTAGTAGCAACCGGTGAAGAGGCGGGGCCAGGAGCTAGGACTCGACCCCTGCAACCACAAATAGGCGAGTACAAATAGGTGAGTACAGGTACAGTATTACAGGTGCAGTATCACAGGTACAGTATCACAGGTGCAGTATCACAGGTGCAGTATCACAGGTGCAGTATTACAGGTACAGTATTACAGGTACAGTATTACAGGTACAGTATTACAGGTACAGTATCGCAGGTACAGTATCGCAGGTACAGTATCGCAGGTACAGTATCGCAGGTACAATATCACAGGTACAGTATCACAGGTACAGTATCACAGGTGCAGTATCACAGGTACAGTATCACAGGTGCAGTATCACAGGTACAGTATCACAGGTTTCAGTATCACAGGTACAGTATCACAGGTACAGTATCACAGGTACAGTATCACAGGTGCAGTATCACAGGTGCAGTATCACAGGTACAGTATCACAGGTGCAGTATCACAGGTACAGTATCACAGGTACAGTATCACAGGTACAGTATCACAGGTGCAGTATCACAGGTGCAGTATCACAGGTGCAGTATCACAGGTACAGTATCACAGGTACAGTATCACAGGTACAGTATCACAGGTACAGTATCACAGGTACAGTATCATAGGTACAGTATCACAGGTGCAGTATCACAGGTACAGTATCACAGGTGCAGTATCACAGGTACAGTATCACAGGTACAGTATCACAGGTACAGTATCACAGGTGCAGTATCAAGGTACAGTATCACAGGTACAGTATCACAGGTACAGTATCACAGGTACAGTATCACAGGTACAGTATCACAGGTACAGTATCACAGGTACAGTATCACAGGTACAGTATCACAGGTGCAGTATCACAGGTGCAGTATCACAGGTACAGTATCACAGGTACAGTATCACAGGTGCAGTATCACAGGTGCAGTATCACAGGTGCAGTATCACAGGTACAGTATCACAGGTACAGTATCACAGGTGCAGTATCACAGGTGCAGTATCACAGGTGCAGTATCACAGGTGCAGTATCACAGGTACAGTATCACAGGTACAGTATCACAGGTACAGTATCACAGGTACAGTATCACAGGTACAGTATCACAGGTACAGTATCACACGGTCTCGCATATAAACTGCTGCTTCGCTTATCGCAAACTTTCTTAATAAGAAAATGACAACAGGGAATTGCTGGCCCTTCCTCGTCCCTCCTGGCTAGTGTCTGGTAGCTAGTGACTGGTGGCTAGTCTCTGGTAGCTAGTGTCTGGTGGCTAATGTCTGGTAGCTAGTGTCTGGTGGCTAGTATCTTGTAGCTAGTGACTGGTAGCTAGTATCTGGTGGCTAGTGACTGGTAGCTAGTATCTGCTAGTGTATGGTAGCTTGTGTCTGGTGGCTAGTGACTGGTAGCTAGTATCTGCTAGCTAGTGTCTGGTAGCTAGTGTCTGGTAGCTAGTGTCTGGTGTCTAGTGACTGGTAGCTAGTGTCTGGTGGCTAGTGACTGGTAGCTAGAGTCTGGTGGCTGGTGACTACTAGCTAGTATCTGCTTGCTAGTGTCTGGTAGCTAGTGTCTGGTGGCTAAAGACTGCTAGATAGTGACTGGTGAGTGGTGGCTAGTGTCTGGTAGCTAGTGACTGGTGGCTAGTGACTGGTATCTGGTGTCTGGTAGCTAGTATCTGCTAGCTAGTGCCTGCTAGCTAGTGACTGGTGGCTAGTGACTGGTAGCTAGTATCTGCTAGCTATTGGCTGCTAGTTTCTGGTAGCTAGTGTCTGGTAACTAGTGTCTGGTAGCTAGAATCTGCTAGCTAGTGTCTGCTAGCTAGTGTCTGCTAGCTAGTGACTGGTAGGTAGTGTCTAATAGCTAGTGTTTGGAAGCTAGTGACTGGTAGCAAGTGTCTGCTAGCTAGTGTCTGGTAGGTAGTGACTGGTAGCTAGTGACTGCTAGCTAGTGTCTGCTGGCTAGTTTCTGGTAGTGACTGGTGGCTAGTGTCTAGTATCTAGTGGCTGGTAGCTAGTGACTGGTAGCTAGTGATTGGTGGCTAGTGTCTGGTAGCTAGTGACTGGTGGCTAGTGTCTGGTAGCTAGTGACTGGTAGCTAGTGTCTGGTAGCTAGTGTCTGGTATCTA